ATATATATATATATATATAGAAATATAAGTTATATGTACTAAAATTAGATTAATGTGTTATGAATTCTATATATTTTAATGTTACATACTAAATATCTAACTTCAATATTATACATTTGTTCTACAGCAGATGTATATCTCATATTTTTATTACAGAAATGTAAGTATCAGTGTGAATGAATGTTATACAAAGCCTTTACGAGCAGCAAAGTTGAAGGATTCCATTAGTGAAACCTTACTTTTGTTCTTATATATCTATCGCGAGCTTTCTGAGGTAAGTTTAGCAGCCTATTATGTTATATTTGTATAATCCTCTTTTCACTCTATGTATACAGCATTTTGCAGTAACCCTTCAAATTTAAACAAACGACATTCATCATTTTTCAGGACCGTAATAAATCTATTTACTTAAGTAATATGTCCGATTTATTGGCATTGTATATAGATATGGAATTAAAAGCTTCAAAAAAAAGTAAAGAAGGTCATAACAGAATTTGCACAAGACTTATTTCTTGTCTTTATGTATATTTAGGTATGTATTCTAAACGTTATGTACCGAAACTTAATTGATAATGATAAAATTTTTCTGTATCTTATCTAGAACATTCCACAGAGCATTTGTTAGATACTTTGATAAAAACACAATGTATGTGCCAGGGTTATCATCGTATTTTAGACCCGATAATAACGTAAGTACATGATATAGAAATGTACGAAATTTTATTTGAAACTATCAATATTTTACTACATTATTTATATCATTATTCAACAATGAAGTACAAAACATACAGATTTTGTATACATACATCAGCCAAAATATATTTAAAAATTTATTGTTTATATAATTCTATATATTTCAAAGTTTTTCATATCGTTATATCTATTTATTTTATTTGATTTCAGAAAAGTAATTAAAAATATTCCAAAGCATCCCAAATCAAATATTATGTATATTCGTTATCTTCTTATTTATTGTCTTTGGAAAAAAATAAATAGCAATTTAACCGCAAAAAGTGACATTACTACAACCGCAATTGCCTCTCTGGGAACACCACCAGCGGCTTTCCCACCATGCGTGTTAAAAGATATATTACCAAAAGTGCCAAAGTGTCAACCAAAATATTCAGCAAAATATCTGATGCGGCGAAAATTTGATATAAAAAAATGCTGTGAAAAATTTATACAGTTCTGTAAAGAGAGCAGAGGAGATACATACCAACAACAAAGTGAAAATCCAACATGTCAGCAACAAAGTGAAAATGCTACAATTCCAAGCTCATCCAAGAAGACTACTTCATTGGTACGTACGTAGTACTCGAGACTTGTTGTGATATTCATTAATGATATACTTTTGAGATCACTTTATGATAAAAATTCTAATATTAAAATAACGAGACTATTATAGTTTTTAAATGAGAAATACTTAAAATTGAGCAATCAAATTCTCCGATATTCATCCCTCATAATGTAGTAGTGCAGAATTATGTCAATTTCGATCATATAGCATTGATATTTGAAATAACATTGATATATTTTTACTTTTGTGCAATGCTCCTTATCTGAGCGTGTGAATTTCACATAAAAAAATTTTAAGAATCATTAACGAGTATCATCGTAAATTATCTCATATATGTTACGCTGTCATATTTCTTATAAATATTGTATATGTTTGTATATAATTCTAAAACTATTTCCGTTTAAAAAATTATGTTGAGTCTTATTTATATGATGGACAAATAAAAAAATTACTTTTATGCAAATTATCAGAAAACTTTTACACAGAATCCTTATTTAACTTGTCGTAATTAATAGAGCTTCATGTATGTAATGAGTAATAATAAGAAAAGTTGTATATGTAAAATGTGAAAGAATTTTGATTATAGTTTTTTTTCTTATTAAGAAAAGACTTGCATAAAGGTAACAGGATTGTCATTTTTTGATAAGGAAATAAACTATATATATTTTTTTAGCTGGAAGTTACATCACGCGAAAATAAAAATACAGATTGTACTGAAATTAAACTTGTTTCTTCAGATAAAGATGTAGAAAGTAATTATGTTGTGTCAAATAATTTAAAATCTTTAAATTTAACAGAACAAACAAATGTTAAACCTTTAGGCACAATTTCTACAAATATTTCTGTAACACGGACTATCTCTAAATCGGTGAAACCAAAAGTGCTTCCACGGAAGAAGGCTAAAAAATCTAATAAGATTGTACTAATCGATCTTACAACTGACGTCGCTTTCGAACGATGCATAAAGAAAAGGAAATTGAGAAAAGTTGCGTGGCTCGAAGAAGTTAAAAAGAACTTTGACGCGAAGTCGATAAGAGCGTCACGGAAGATTAAGAAACAACAAAAAGCGAAAAATTCTTTGAAGAAAATAACTAATCAACAATTGGAAGATTCGCTTCAATCTGTACATGCCACAGAAAATACAACTTTGAAGAATGATTCGAGTACATCTACGATACAGGACATGAAGTTAAATAACGAACAAATAAAATCCATGCATTTTGATGCAAAACATAACAATATATCAGTCAATGGTAATAATACAATATCTACAAAACAATCGATACATACGAACAGCAGTGACAAAAATGAATCTGTCGACATGCTGCACTGCACAGTTTCTTCTTCTGTAATTGTTGATAGACCACAGTTTAATAAACCTAAAACTTCAAAAAATTCATTATTGGATATTTCGAATGACGTTAATAAAGTTAGTAAATGTCATGATGTTAATATTTTGGAAGCAAAGAATAATGAGAAAATAAATGATAGGAATAATACACAGACTGTGATTAAACGATTGATGGAAAAAGATACTCCGCCTGAAAGTGAAACCCATAAAAGAGTTGAAAGTTTAAGAAAAATCTGTGATTTAGGAACAGAGCACTCTAAAACTGTAAATACTCCTTCGATATGTGCCCAAGATAATTCCAAAGATGAAGATAATAGCTCTAATCATAATACTAACTATCTTACAACTAAAGATAAATTATCCTCACAGGTAGCTTCATCTCTGGAGCACTGCAAAAACAACACACAGAATGAAACAAATGATGAAGAAACGGAAGATTTTGGAAACAATGAGAAATGTGTGCAGGAAGATATCTGTGAAATACAATGTTTGAAATCAACCACAGTTGATAATGAATTAAGTAAAAAGAAATTTGCAGTTTCTACGACAGTAGCTGAAACTCTTACTACAACAACTGTAAGTAGTGTGGAAATATTAATAAATGACGCAACAGAATCTGAGCGATTGCAACAATCATGCATTATTGAAAATACAAGGCACTCACAGGAATCTGAATCTCAAGATAAATATGTATCAACAAGTCACGATGTTGCAAATAATACTGTAAGTATTAATATAACGAATGGAGACCATTCTAATGTACAAACAGATTTAAAAGTTGATACTTGTGTCGAAGTAAGCGATGACGTAAAGGATAGCAGATTTCCTAATTGTAAAATCAAAGAAACTATTTTTGAAAATCACACAGCTGATAAGAAAAATATTTCTAATATCCTTGACATGTCACTGTGTTCAAAAGATGAAAAAGTCAATGATATCGATTCGAAAGCAGATCATAAAGAAAATGTAGAAATTGAATCGAACAGGAATTGTGGTAGAGAATGTAATATAGGGGAATTAGTAGAAAGATCTTCTGTACTGTGCAAAAAAGTTGACCAAACGCATGATCATAAATTACCGAAAGAATCATACAAGATATCACATATGAAAAATATTCAGGATTCATCGGGGAATAAATGTATCATTCAAGATTCAGAGTTACATGATAATATAGATGGGCTTTCATTATTAGCCAATGTTATCGCAAGTCAGCATGTATCTCATCTAAAAACTGAACGTGATTTAAAATATGAACAAATCAAAGTCAAGGATTATGCATCGTTAAGAAATTCTCCTAATAATCAAACTACGGATGATGAAGCTGATGCCAATGATTCATCGAATACCGTTTCTCAAATTTTGGAGAATCCATCCACTGAAGTCATCAATAGAATAGTTGGGATTTATCCAGAAGATGCATTAGACAAAGTAGCGCTTCATGTTGAAGTGACATCGACAACTGATCCCGATGACCGCGAAAATGATTCAAGCAATAGCGTTTCGCGTATTGTTGAAACTACTCTCAATTATGAAACAGACACGATATCCAATAATTTAAGTATGGTGGAAAACAATGTGCAGTCAATAAAGGAAAATACGAACGTTATATTAAACGGTGAAACAGTCGTGCTCTTACAAAAGTCTCCCAATAGTAATTTATACATTATTAATAAAGCAGTGGAAAATGCACGAGATCATAATAGCGACGATGAGAATTGTCCAATTAAAGAAAAGAGCTGGATGATTCCACCGGAAGATTATGCATCGTTTGAAGTTGTTAATACGTCAGAACATATTTCGTTTAATTTGGATCTACCGCAATATAAGGAATTATCGTACCAAGAAAATAAATATTCCGTCGGAAGAAATAAAGGTATAAAAATCGAGCCTGAGGAGGAAAGCAGCTTAATGAATATCACAGAAATGAAATCTTACGGTAAGAAAGGTTCATTATCAGCCGACGTGTTACCTGCGACGTCGCAAATCTATCAGGACACGAACGTTGCGAATGTTAGCATCAGCAAGTCAGTCGATAAACGAAAATCCAAATCCATTCTTACTTATAGACAGAACATTAAGCAAGAGTTCAGCAATCATATTACGCCTAATTGTGGAATACAAGGGTGCAACGGAATACATTCGCATCCGCATGAAGTAATTGACCCGCAACATTCGTTACATATTCCGGTCAGTCATCCCACGACAATATCTTCGATTTACGGGAACTGCGCTGCCGGCACAGATCTGTGTATGCCGTATCACAAGCATTGCACCTCCGTGTCGTGTAGTTTACAAATTAATTCTACTACTTCGCTCCATTCCCACACGAAGTCCGCAAATTCATGCGGGAGATCACACTGCTCATGTCTAAATTGTACGTATGACATAGTCACGCATTGTAGACAGTGTATACACCCGGCCACAGACTCCCACGTGTCTTGCATTGAAAGTAATTCTTATTTTTTGCCCACACATTCATCAGTACAAACATCCGCCGTCCAAGAGCATGATAGGACAAAAAGCGAAGCGGTAATAAGTAAATTATACGATGATCAAATATTGCGTAAAAGAGTACTACAAAATAATACGTTGGAAAAGCTGGATATGCCGCGCGAGTCAGAGAAGTTATTTAAGAAAGATATCGAGAACACGTTGCCGTTGAAAAAGAGATTGAAAGCTCATGCCATGATGTCAATGGCATATGAGAAGGTACCTATCAAGACAGAGAAATTGGATAACTATCCTGGAATTCCCATGATGTCCATAGCGGCCATAGAAAAGATAAATGGTACACAGAAACATCCCACGCAAATCATTAAGTCATATGAATTATCCTCTAATGAAGAGGATAATCCACACGGCAGCTATCACTTCAATTCGAATATAATGCGAAGGGATTACTACAAAGATATCCACATTTCTAATACACATAATCTTACGAAAGAAAGTACAAGAAATCACGAGCGTCAGTTTCGACCAAATGGTGAGCAGCCTAATGCAGTGTGCCTAGAAAGTTGTCAGGACAGGACACCTGCGCAGCGCAGAGACGTCACAAATTCAACATCTCTGAAACATACAACAACGGAGACGATCGAACAGGATAGCGCGTGTAAAAAGGCGAAAAAAACGCAGTCGTCTATTAGACAAACGAGAAGCTCAAAAAGAAACGTTCCTAAGGTAAATTATTGTTACACCGATGTTGATCCAGAATGGAATCCGTCCGGTGAGTCAAAACGAAGACGTAAGAAGACTAGTCGATGATCAATACTATTTCATTACGAGAAGTCACTGCTGTAAAAATGAAAGAGAAAATGGAAATAACCTGTATAAAGGACAAATGTGTTCTTCAAGCTGTGGCACTGTAAATCTGTGTAAATATATGTACAAAACGGAAGCGAAAAATAACTCGTCCTAGAAGATTTAGAAATAGATCGTTCAGCAGCGTGTTCAAGATTAGCGTCAGCGAAGAATTACATTAGCTATATATAGAAGACATCTGCATAAAATATTTTTGATGTTTGGTTAGATATCGCTAGAAGCAAGTTGTAGAGAATTTTATTCCGTTAAATCATAGTTTAGACGTTCTTAGTTGTGACAGTAAGCGTCGACATTTTTGTTGCGATCACATGATTTATTGTCTCATATATCTTTAGTATATGGCAACGCGTTTAAGAAAATATTACAATTCAAAATAGAATTATTGTGAAATTATGTTAAAAATATAAAAAATACGTGTCATTTGTATTTATCATTATATTTTTATCCTTTAAAATTAAATTTTCAATAAATTATTTCCTTATAATATTTTATTTGATAATACAATTTAATATAATTTTGTATTCAATTTAATATAATTTCTTGGATCAGTTATTTGAAATACGTTTATAAAATATTTTTCTTGTTCTTGAATTTCTTTTTTCGTTTTTTATTTGTTAACATTTAAATTTGCAATATCGCGTTTGTCTTATGAGAGAGATACCCATTTGCGATCATATATCGATATTGTAAGTTTTTTTTAATTTGATAAGTATCTCTTAAAGAGATGCTGGAGCGACGGCTGAACTTAATCAAAGTCGATATTACAGGTTTTCATTTCCAATGTATAAGATGCTTATATATACGCCCTGTGAGTTAATATGATCATGCAGGAAATTCGATTGATTAATTATCGATATTTCTATTCCTACATTACCATCTTAGCAGGGACGAAAACATATACTAGGCTCAGTCCTACAAATGTAAGATTTATTTCATTTTGGAAAATTTTCCAATTTTAGAATTGGGAAAAATCTATAATGTATGAATATACACACGTTACAGATAGAAGTTAATACTAAGCTATTTATGCATTCCTTATGTTTAAATATGCAATATTAAAATTGTATGTATACATATATAATATAATATATGTGTGTATATATGTAGACATAAAATTTAATTGTAATGTTTCGTATAAATAAACATAGGAAATATCTGCATGAATACCTCAGTATAAATTACTTCTAGTTCTAATTTGTGTAGATATTCGCACATCATAATAGACACATATGCAATATTCTAATATTGAGAAAAACAATTATTATACAGGGGACTTTAAATCTATAAAATATACGTATAACTAACATAAATCAAGACTAATGAGGCAATATAGATATAACGAAAAACTCACAAATCCAAAAAGATTATGTTACTCACAAATTGTTAAAGATGAAGTAGATTTGTATAAATGTAATTTTGTGTATCAAAGCGCTTCTTGGCACGCTCTCTATCTACTAAAATTTTACATCACTTCATCTCTGGCAATTTGCGAGTGATAATCTTTTTGTATTTGTGAGCTTTTCATAATATATCTGTATTGCTGAAGAGAACTTCAAAATGAGTTGAAATGTACAAAGTAACGAAGATATCATTTATCAGAGGATTCGTAATTTGATTATGTTTTTTAAGATGTTATGTCTAATTATCTGCGTTTTACTCTGATTAACTTTGATTTATATTAGTTGTATGTATATTCTGATATTGAAAATATAAAAGCATAGATCATATGTATACAGGGTGTTTGTTAAATAAGATCGGAGCTGGGGTGTAGAATGGGTTAAGGAGAATAAAAAAGTCTTATACCATTTTGTAATTTTCGCAATAGTTAACAAGATATTAATTACTAAAAATGGCCGAATATTGGTCTTTTATAATTTTTTTCTCAAATAATATCAATTTTACAAAAAATGTATAAGAGATAAAAATTGTTTATTTTCTTCTCATAGAACTCTAAGAATTTTTTCAGACTTTTTTATCAACTTTTTAGTACTGCATTTTCTTATTTTTATTATCATGAGAAAATACGGTATTAAAAAATTCTGAAAAAATTCTCAGAACTTTATGAGAAGAAAATAAACAATTTTTGTCTCTTATAGTTTTTCTGTAAAGTTGATAGCATTTGAGAAAAAAATTATTAAAGACCAATATTCGGCCATTTTTAGTAATTAATATCTTGTTAACTATTGCGAAAATTCCAAAATGGTATAAAACTTTTTTGTTCCCCTTGACCCATTCTATGCCTTCACAATGCGGCTCCGATCTTACTTAACAGACATCCTGTATATATGGATCAACAATTTACTAAATGAAATGTATGTAAAAGACAGAACAGTGCAATTAAAATAATTATCTTCATTTGTATTCATATGTAAATAATATGATACGTCTATGAAGAAATTATTTTAACAAAATTGAAATAATTAATATCATATTTATTTTATTATTATTTTTCTTCTCAAAAGAAAAAATTTTGGAGGCCCGTAACGGGATCAGGGCACATAAGAATGTTTTTTGGTATGGGCCTGAGTAGGTTGATAATTCAGATCATTTCTAAGATTCAGCGACGTATTTTTCATGACAGCGCCGCTGTCAAATATCGTGGAACTAAAATATTGCTCGGTTTCACGTTAATTTCACTCGTAATATACAAACGAAATTTTCGGCGACTCTTTTCTCTTATACTAAAGCCCCCTACCTCATTTCTAAAAACATAGGATTATTCTTTCAAGTTTTCTGTAATTCGGCAGCTACTTTTTATGAACGTGCTGAAACTCATATACAGCACATATTGTGATCTGTTGACTACAGAAGCCGATAACAAAATTAAGTCTTCAATTTTCTTTCGTTTTTCAATTGTAGCTGGTGAATTGCGTTGTCGATACTTTAATTGTGGAGAAGGACTTTTCAATCCATAAACACAATTAAGAGAAAAGAGTCTTTAACAATGGTAAAACAGGACACTCCAGCATCTCCTTAAGTCTTAAGATATATTCTTGCCGCTTTATATAAATAAATATAACAATTCAATTCATCGATACAAGGCCGATAAAATCGATGATATTTAAACTTTGATAATTCATAACTAAAAAAGTTCTCATCAAAATATAACATTTTTATCAAATAAAAACAAAAAACTGACAATATATATGTAGTCACAAGTTGGTCCTTTATTGTTAGCTGAAAGTAAGTTTACGATAGTGCTAGTTTCTTTAAATTACCTTTTTTTAATAAAATAAATATTCCTATATAATGATGACATTTTTGTTAGAAATTATATTATTTCATTACTAAAACGTTAACTCAAATAGCGACACTGTTATAAAAGCGAGCAAGACGAACTTAATCGTAGACTATATATTGTTGATTGCGTTTTTCACACAGTAAAATTTCACGCTCTGATTTTTTGCTACTATCGTAACTGAGTATGTCTAAAACTATGGTTAAACATCGTTTCTCTCTACTCTTGCGATATTGTAATTGATATAAGGCTTTGTAAGATAATATTTAAATTTTAATGTTTTTCTATTGTCATGGTTGCAGCGACGTCTGTCGCAAGCTATAACTTTCTTAAGCATAAAATTCCTTTAAATTTTTGTAAAATAAAATTAAAGTTTCTGTATAGTGTTTTCTGTATGAATATGTATATATTATATATATAATATATATATATATATTTGTACATACATAATCAATGTCAAACAGAAACTTATTTGGTGGAAACGTATTTTGAAGTATAGTATCATTTTTTAAAGGTAAGGTTATCTTATATAATAGCATTAGTTTAATGACTTGTTTGTTGACATAAAATGTTTAGACAAAATGATATAAAATCAAACATATCAAAAATATATATAAATGTGTTTGAATAGATTATTAACTGTTATTGTGTTATTATTATTATCATTATGTTATACGTTAATTTTCTTTTAGAGTTATTACAATTTTAAGAAAACACTGTAGATATTATTGCATCTTATTATGCATGAATAATTTATGATGATAATTATATGTGAATTCTTCTCCAGGTTCCTGAAGAATACAAATTTAAATTCAGGAATGTAATACGACCAGGTTGACGATTGAAAGTTAAAAGTGTATTCAAAAATCCAAATTTTCATTGAACACAAACAGGATACACAATGTATTAGGAGCATGTTTGCATAGGTAATTCTACAGTAATTATATATATGTATATACGTAACATTTTATATTATAAGTATCTGATATCAAAATTCAGATATCATATTTCATAATCTTATGGTATTATAGTTTTTTCAATTTGTAATAATTTCATAGAGATGCATATACGATTTTACACAATTTTATATGTAACATATGTCTTGTATTTCAGAATAATTATCCGCTTATACTTGAGTACTTTGGGCAAGTGTTTAATGCAAGCACATAATGTCAATAAATTCGCCAAATGGTGCAAAATTATTTGTATTGCCGTACAATTATAAAAACTGGAAATGTTTAATTTCTTCCATTTATAATCTGTCCTCTTATTATATATAGAGACGCAGCCCTATATTATCAAGAAAAAAGCTATTGTTTAATATAAAGTTATATACATACAGGTACCTATCAAAATAAGTAGAGTAGTCAGCCGATTCGTATGATAACAAAAAACTTCAGGTCCCGTTGAAAAAAAAAAAGAAGAGATAGTATGCATAATTGAAAGTAATCCATATATTTTTCCTGTAATACAAATGTCCATCTTTCGTTAAAACGCGAGCTACGCGAGGGCTACATGAGCTACATATTCTAAAAAGTAAAATGACCTAATCGAGCTTGATAAATAAAATGAAACTGAGGCATGCAAGGAAAAATGCACAATTTAGATATCGATAGTTACCAAGATAGAAAAGCTTTACAACTAGCAAGCATCGTATAGCTTGTTCCTATGTAATTATTTAGTATTTCAGTTCATATATCTGGGGTCTTACTTTAAGAACTGATTAACATTAATATATAGCATTTAATTAAATTATATTAAATTTAACCTGAATTTTTTATGAGATACATTTTTAAGGATATAATTTTTTAAATGTTATATATTATATTGTAAATGGTTCTTATGAAAAAAAAAATTGCTCATGCTCATTCAATTCTATATGTATATTTTATGTTAATGGTTTCAGAGTATTATTATTAAATTCTTTTTGTTATATGTGTATCTGATCTGAACAAATTAAGTCACATTGCAGTGTGTTAAACCTGAACCAGTCAGCGTCACTATTTTATTCTAATATAAATGTTCTAACTACGTTCAATTATTTCGAGATAGATTTGGTTCAAGTAATGCATAACTTCAGTGCCATATCCCTATACCTGATCTCATATCTGTGATCATTAGCTAAGCGGTAGCTAACATTTTGTTGTACAAAAAGAAAATGTACCTTGTTAAGTAGTCTATTCGATAGATTACTTGTCACTGTCACACTTGTCATCATTGTACATTTATTCGTCTTCATATAAATGATTGTAGTTAGAGATTTTTTTTATTGTAGACTGCTATACTCTTATGTTTACTGCAACTGTTTTCTTATTTTCAACTATTTCAACTAGATTTTAAATTATATTTCCTAGATTTGGAAGACGCGTCTTTTTCATTACCGATAATGATTTTTTATTGTTACGTTTACCGATAATGATTCTTATTGTTATTTATTTATTAATTTACAATGCGATAAGTCTGATAGGCTTAAGTTTAACACAAATTTATAAGTTAACTATAGCTATAAATAATTAGTTCATCAAAATTGCCAAAAGTCTTCATACATATGGATCGAATATATATAGATCATTAATCATAAATACATTATTGTACGCATAAAACATTTATTAAGGAAAGTCTGACGTCTTAAACATTAATCAAGTTAGTATAGTAAAGTACTTTACATCAGATGCCTCATTAATTCGTGTTCATAAAAAATTCAGTATTGTGTATGCGTAGAACATCTCTTTCGTATAATGATAAATAAACCTGTATTTACCTATATTTGTACATTATGTGCATTACATAAAATGTCGACTGCATAAAATCGAGGTAAATATACTGCACATATGATAATACTATTATATTTACCTCTTTCTATATATTATACTCACTGGAACTATAGATTCATCGCTATTACTTATGAAATAAGAATAGAAATGTTAGAAACTCTCACACAACAGGGTAAAATTAATATGCTTTTGATGCTTGCAGCATCGGGTTCATTATATTTTACATAAGTATGTATACTTATTAACTAAAAATAGAGTATATAGAGAACATACCTCTGAACAGGGTAAAAGTGAAAAAATATTCGGCAAGTTTATAATGTTCGTTAGTTCATATAATTACAGATACCTTCTTTATTCAGAGATACTAATTTATTTTACAAGTGTATCTAATTAACACAACTTTTTCTTTCAATTTTAGTAAAGCATTTTTATTACGTCAATAATAAACATCGCCCAAGATTTGTAAATATTTTTAGGTACATGTTGGTCACATCCGAATGTGTTTATTATGCCGTTATATTGCAATCACTTTTCTATGCAAACAAGATTAATGAGATTTCAGTATCATTTTTTCCACATACATATATATTCTATATCCTATGCTAGAGAATAAAACAAGTATTTACGAATTAAATATACATAGTGAGAGGAAATGTATTGAATGCTTCTAAAATGATAGTAGTAATTTAATACTCTTGCATATAGAAATACAAATTCTGCATTTTAATGAAAATAGTATTTCTTTTTGACTAGATTATCGAAGTGTTTCTAAACTGAGTTTTCCAATTGATTTTGTACAATTGCGCGTAATAAATGAATAACTCGAATGTATTACAAATTGAACCTTTATTCTTTTTTTCAGTCTCTGCATTGTTGTACATTGTGGGTTTAACTTATCACAATATAATGTTTTTACGCATAGAACACAATTAATACAGGAAAATTAATTTATCATAGATCTACATATATATATATATATATATACAATTATTAAAAATATACGTGAAAATTTACGAATACTCTTGTAAAAAAAAATATTAATCGTTTATACATAAAAATTTGAATTCGATAAAATTAGGAGATGTATTACATAACTAACAAAAAAAAAGTATTCGACTAAATATCATTATATCTTTATTAATCTAACTGCATACCTAAATATTTTACGCAGTACGAGTAAGCGAATGAACTTGTTTTAAAACCATGTGGAAGCATCGTCTAAATATATTCTGCCTTTCATATTGATACTTTACAAAGAAATATAATACAATAAAATATAACTTGCATAATTTGATAGACATATTGAGTTTGTATATTATCTCGAAACTCCTACGCATATAAACTGCATAACCAGGTCTAACTTCTTTTGACAAATTTGATAGAAGTTCCTTACACAGTACACATACAGTATTTATTACATAAATATTTTGTATATATAAGAATGACGAAAAAAAAGATACAGCTGTGTTCTTAGGCCTAGAGGATGAAGTTGTAAATAAATAACATTTTATTATAAAATTTGCAGAAAAGGAGAGATTAGAATTACGTTTTAAACCGCTAACATGTACATTCAATAAAAACATGTACAATATAATGCAATAAAGGAAACAGTTTTAAAGCTTCTATTGCACTATTCCCAGAAAATAAATCTTCACCAAATGCGATAATATTATTTAATTCTATGACGAAGCAACGTTATTGCTTGTTTAAAAGAGCTGATATTTGTTATTCATGTGTTAATGATTATTTAGTAATATACTGAAATGTATCATATTGAATTATATATACTCGCACGCGCGAATGCAATTTTTTAAAATATACGTTTATCAGGGCACTATTCATTTAGGATAATACTAGTAATATTCTCCTCCTCTCGGATAAACTTTATTCTAGAGAATATATTTCATTTATTTACTATCTACTGGCTGTAAACTATAAATTATGCAATCTTTCGAATTAAATTATGTATATATATATATATGTATATGTTTTTTAGAATAGTGATCCATTCAATGAAGTGAGGTTGTCTACAATAAATATAAAATATTCGAGGTATAAGCGCAACAGAATAAATTTCCACACACTTTCTTTTTATACATTACTATTTACATAGGGTGTGGAACATATGCTCGAATTTATGTCATGCTGTGTATATGCTCTTACAATATGCAATTTTAGAAATATAAAATATTTTCTTCTGCAACATATACACATGCAATTTAAAATAACTATCGTCTATTTTGCAAACATTTATGCACAATTACTTTGTGTCATTTCTACCTTGCTAAAAGTCTTAAAGAATATGAAGTCTTTGAAGAATACGTGTGAAAGAATACTCCTCAATGCATTTGAAAATTAAAGGAAATGTAATAAAAAGTAGATTATCTTCACAGCAATAATATGGCAAGCAATGATCTTGTAATTTTACTTTATAAAATATATGAAAAGAAATAGGAATGTATTTCTTAAAGATTCGTTACTAAGCTTATATTATAATGTCAGATACGAGACAACATACTTTGATTTTATGATTTTCTATGATTCACGATAACTTTATCTATCTAATTGTTAACAAGCCTAATTATAAACAAATTTCGAAACTGTATTTTCACATAATTTGTTGAACTCAAATTAGTGTTTATATTACATTTTCAAAACTTAATTTTCTGAATCTGTTCACGAAAGATCATTCTCGCAAACTTGAATAAATATTTTTCTGACATCATAATCTACGATAACATCGTCAAATCTTAAAACACTTTGTTCAATACTAATATCAGTAATACGTCTCCCTTTATCAAGAGGATTTTTATCTACTTGAACTAAATATGAGGTACCATAAAATCAGTCTCTACATTAAATATCGACAAAGAAATATACAACAAATTAAATTTTAATACTAAATATCATAGGATTCCTCTTTGTATGAAGAATTCATCAATCTCATAGACTAGACATAATAAATTATTAATTCATTTAATATATAAAACTATGTTTTTTAATTAAAATAACTTTTTAACAACTAAAAGACTTTATACAAATTATGATTTGGTTCAGACGCATTAGAGAAAAGTGCAAAAAATAAATTACATAAGGAAGTAAATATCCTTTTATTGCCAAATAGCAATAAACGAGCACAATAAAATGTTTAGCGATTCAATTTCATATACTGTTCTATATTATTTCGCTAATGATTAAATTAAAATAAAAAAACACAGGAAAAGCAGTGTACACTAATTAATATATAGTATATGAAAATTATTATTATTAATTCTGTTTGTGTATATGTGACTTTTTCAAATTGTAAATTTTCCGGATATTCAATACTGGTATATTCAAAGTAATAATTCTAATTAATATAATTATTAATTATTTCCACCCTATTTAAAATTTAAGGTAAAACATATTTTTTTTAAATATAATAATCCGTGTAATAAAATTTTTTAATAGTTTCACCCTATTAATCTACTCCTGCAATAACTTTGGAAATATACCTCAGAAATTTAACTTTTATCAGAATAAATAATATTACTACTGAAAATAGTTCCTCTTTCTTTTCAACACGTATATCGCATTATTCATATATTTACTTAATATTTAAATGCAACTATAAAATAATATACGTGCGTAATATATATGTATATATCTATATACATAAAATACATATTAAAAAAAAAATCTGCCAGAAATGCTTCTTGACCATATGATACAATTATAAATTAAGCATAACTTAAAAAATATTCTTTCTCTCTTTATAAACTTTTAATCTTATAGATTGTTTGAATAACTGTACGAATTATATTGCGTTAGCGTTGCCACCTAGATCGTTCTTATTCGGTATCAGAAAAAGAAAAAAGTTATGTTTATGAAATCACATACAAATGGTTTATGAAAATTATCGAAACAAGAAAAATCCAAAAATATTATAAGATAAAAAATAATTAAATAATAAAAAGCAACAAAATTTTGACAATCACAAAACAGAAAATATATAAATTATATAAATGATATCCCGGGAAAAAATATTATATATATGCATATTTTATATGTATAATTATATATAACTATATATGAAACATTTTTTCCCGGGATGAAGACGATTGCATAATAAATATATAAATTATTATTTTTATTGGCTTTACTTCCATAAATATTTGCAGTTTTAACAAGCTCCATATTTTCAAATTTCTTAATAAATTTATAAAATTCTTAACAGTTCATCGATAAATATAACATCGTAATGTATACGTCTTATTCGAAACGCCCTTCTTAGTTTTTTTCCAATGCCGTACATTCAGGGAATTTTTTTCATTACAAACTACATAAGACGTTTTACATTTTATGCAACCTGGAGAAGTAATGAAACCCAAACTCGGACATAAATCTTCAAAATCGAGTTTTTGGTCCAAACCCAAAAAGGTGGCAACTCTACATCGCGTTGTGTTTTAACATCTTGGAAGCTTTTAATGTAATAATTTTCAGTATCATATGTTCAAACACACACAATTTTTATTTCAATCATCGAATTACGACTTAGCGTAAGTAGTTAAAAATTGGCGACTTCTTCAGGAGCATAAACGACAATCACGCTGTAATAAATAAATGCACATATATGATAAACATAATTTCTTTATTATATTTAGGCCTTTGTGATCCAATCCTACTATATTAACAATTTATGTTAAATGTTTTAATCAAACTAGATTTAAAAAATGACATCGTAAGTAGATCTATAATCAATATCCTTGAATTGCTATTTAAATAAAGCATATATAATTTTTTTAAATAGTTTTTTTAACTTTGTAACTATTATACATGAAAATTATTTAAATTTAGAATATTTATATTCTAGAAAAATCAGATCACAAGAAGTCTGAATATATTGGAGATCTCATTGCAAAACTCGTTACCTCTAATAAAATATTACCTAGAAAAATTTGATATTTTGATAAATTGATTTGATAAAAATAAATAATAATGAATAACAATTCGATGTAAAGATTAAAATATCAAGTACCAATTATATCTACAGAATTAAAAAATAATTATCACAGTTTAAAATTTATGTCTTGCAAATGTCTTTCATAAATTTCTCTTATTATATGTTATTGTATACATGAATTGAAAAATGTTTTCGTAATCTACATGTAAATTTTAATAATTACAGCAGAAATTGATAATTGCAATTTTTCTATTTTTTTAATTATAAGATTGAAATTACGGAGATAGCCAAGTTTTGAAATGAGAGGCTTTATATAATAAATATATATTACACTCACCGACTGCATTTTTTCATGTTCTTCTACACATAGATATAAACTCTGAAAATAAAATAAAATGTCAATAAATATAAATATTTATGATTCAATAATAATAATGTAGTACATTAATGAATAATTATTAAGCCAATAAGGCGCTATCTTACACAAGTTTTAATTACAGTATCTTCAAGCAGATGATTTAAATACATTACTTATATTAATTTCATAGAAAATAATGTTAACATTATATATACAAGTTACATTTTAAATATAATAGGTATACATGTGATATTTTAAATTATTTCACATACATATACAATTTAATATTACTTCTTATATAAAGGACAATTCTTAAAATTTAATTTGTTTCATGGCAAATATTAAATTAAGGGAACAATGTCCTAAATATTTTACACATATCTATGTTTTATATATAATTAATAATTATGTTATTCTTATATTCAAATTTTAATAAATTTTAATTTATTACTTATTAATATTCTGTGAAATTTAAAAAAATGATAATTCTATAAATATTTTCTATAGTAAATGCCAATAACTTTTATAAATTATTTTTATAAATTATTTTGTAATATAGGAAGAGAATAATCTTCGGAGATGTATTATGTATCTTGATGTAGTTGTTCTTATGTGTAGGTATATATGTACGTAACATTTTACAGATTTTATAATTCTAAAAAATAATACAATAACCTCAAATGATAATAGAGATTTCAAAACATAGATTTAAATATTAAGTTACCTTTTTTTTAATGTAGAAAAAATACAACTTCCTTCTCGAACATTGTACTGAATCAGAGAAAACAAGTTTATTTAGCATTTAGAAGGAACAAAACTACAGATACGATTCTTTCTTTTTTCTTCTTAGATGTTTTTTCAGTGGGTGATGATTTGATGCATCTGACAGTCTACTTCTTAATGATATTTGTTACCTTATGGTCTATGGTCTCAATTATAATTATTGTGATGTAGTCTTAAATTACTATTAAGATTCATTCAAAATAAAATTTTATCTTATACAGTTGTATAAGATGTTCAAGCAGATTATCCTTTTACGATAGTAAGCAATTTGTTGACGGCATATCTCAATATATTGAGAAGCAGAAGTCTATAAAATTCTTTAAAAACTTGCTGTAACTCATCTCTCTTGAGGTTGGAAATTTTTCAATATGACTTTTTTGTGAACATCGTTATTGTACTGTATTTTTTTCTTCTCGGTTTCTTCAGTAAATAACAATCTGTTATATTTGATAGCTTGTGACTTAGTGGCATTCACAAACGTACGATCTATATTTCGATTAAATATCATTTTAATTAAAAGTCAACCAGAATCATTTAAGGAGACACAGTAGTATCTTGGCGCTAATATGTATCTTACGCAATATGATGTTGAGGCAGAATCTTTTCTTTTTTTATTGAATAATTTGACAGCATTTGAAATATTCTTGAATATATAAAATTCATTTAAAGAATTGATTTAATCTATCTTTCAGGATATGAAAGCTTTCAACATCTTTTTTGCAAACATAAAAATATTTAGTTAAGATATCGTTATTTCACTTATTAGGAAGAGTATCGAAATTTCATTCCATGACTTTGAAATCTAAAAGAATGATATTTGAATTAGTTAACAATAATATTTAGCATTGTGACGATTCGTTACGATTTAGTGACATAAGTTTATCGAACTTTGCTGGCAATTGCAGAAAGGTGTATCAGCATTTAAATTTAGCATTAAAAGAAGTTATCAAATTTGTATTACTATCAATAGCATCATTTTGATTGCATAGAACATTATTTTTGTTAAATGATGTACATGTTGTGTATATATATTTTTTAATTAAAATAAATATTCCTGAGGTAGGAAATCAGTAGTGTCATTCGATAATAAATCTTCCAAAGTTTGAAAATGTGAAACACTGATATCTTCAAAATCATTTATACAATTAGTTTTCATTATTTCACTAATTTCTTTTGAATCTATTTCGAAAAAGTCGGTATCAAATGTATGTTCAGAGGACATCAAAGTATCGCAATCGCTTTTTCCTCGTTCCTTCATCGTATCTTCATAAACACATTTTCTTCTATTATCAGAATTGACACACTGAGTGTCCATTGACGATTCCATAATTTGATCTTCGATAAATGTAGTTGAAACAATACATGTGTCCTCAGATTTATTTAATACACCGGCTAAATTAATTTCAGGCTGTTCAGAAGATTGCCAGAAGACATCTTCCAAAAGAGTTTCACTTTGGATATCATTCACGAAATTGTTGTGCTCCAAATCTATATAATTGTTTGTCATCTCGTCAGTTTCTTCTTTTTTGGGGAAAAATTTTTTCATATTACAATCGACTTCTACATTGGAGAAATGTAATCGATCGTTTAATATAAAAGAATCACTTTCTTTTTGTTGTTCCTTTATCATAGTTTCAGAATATTTACTATCGTGATCATTTATTTTTACAAAATTATCAAAGTTGACATGTTGGCTAGACGATGGTGGGTCTACAACTTTATCTTCAGTAAATGTAGTTGAAACAGTACATTTGTCATCGGATTTATCTAAACATTGCACTCTCTTTTCAGCGTGTACAGTCGTGACACATTTATCAGTATGATTCAAAAGATAAACATATTTATTGCAATCATTTTTTATTGTGTCGCAAGTCAATTTGATATCGTTTTCATTATCGTAAAATGTGTTATTCAGATTCCCCTGTGCTTTTGCCACGATAACGTTTGTACAATACTTTGGACATTTATTAACTTGACATACATTCTGTTTTATCATTTCCGTAATTAGTGAGCTACGATCAGTTATAAACTGCAAACTAGTCATTATAAAATGATCAACATGCCTTGTATTGCAACACGGGCACGATTTTTGTATCGCATAATCCGTGCTTGTTGGTAATTCTTGCTTCAAATCAAATTGATAATTCTGCTGAACTGCAACATTGTTTTGGCACGTTTTTAAAGGTATTGTCTCCATGGCACTTTCTTCCTGAGATGTTAATGCATCCTTATTTTGTGTTATCGAATTGTCACAAGAACTAATTATATTTTCTATTGTCATATTAGATGATACACAATTCTTTAATTTACTTTTTTCCGACACATTAGCCTTCAACTCATTAATATTTCGATCATCTAACATCGGTGATTTCAAATAACGCAAATTGTAACTGTGTTGTTTCTCATCCTCTTTTGTAAACTCCATACAGGTATCACTGTTAACTGAAGTACAATTCTCTGTACCATTATTACTTTTGATATCAGATTTAGACTCTAAACGATTTTTTTCTTTTAAATTTTTGTTGTCTTCATTAGAACGTTCTTTAATATTGGAATTTGTAAGTTTGTTTGAATATTTTGAAGAATTGATATGCTTCTTTTTGTTTTTCTTATTTTTCTTAACTTTCAAAGATTCCGAATTTCGATTAGTCCTTTTTCTTTTTACTTTATCATCTCCAGTTAAATCAATTATTATAATTTTGTGTGAATTGTTTTTTTTCAATGGTTTAAGGCTTCTTGATCCATTTTTTTGTAAATGAGTTTCCAAACATTTATTTTTATTATTTTTATTATTTGATAATGTATTATTATTTCGTAAACCATCTAAGCATTTATTTATTTTCTGTTCAGATGAACTTCCATTAGAATTATTTGGACGAAATAATGGAAACGAATTTATCTGATGCTTCTAAAAAAGTAGTATTCCAAACATTAAAATTTGCATTATACTTAATAAATGTAAAGATCTTCACATATAATTTGAGATGAAACACTATTAAAAGATCTTACCTGAGACTTTGAACAAGTCTGATCAGCATGAATTGTTTTGATACATTTTAAACCTGTAGAGTTATCCATTTTGTCTTCAAATAGCAGGAACTGTTTATGAAATTCCTTTATATCAAATTGATTTGATTCTATTAACCATAATGTTTCATTTTTTTCTTGAATAGGTGGTCTAGGCACAAATTTCAATAATTCGTCTTGCAATTTTGGCATACGCGGTCCTAACAGCATTACGGCTAACTCATCAATTCTTTTCTTTTTGTCAGAAAGATTTAACTTTTCTGTTTCTTCCATTTTTTTCCACATTTTAAAGGCGAGCAAATATCTGATATAAGCTACATCGGTTATAGACGTCGTCTTTGTTTTGAGATTAATAAAGCTCCTCCTATGTAAAAAAAAATATAATCTGTATTATCTCAATTTATTGTCTGAAATATAATTTATTATCTATGATATAATGTGTTAAAAAATATATTTACGTACATAAATATATGATTGCATACTTTTGTATATTTTTTTGTGTGTTTATTTCTAAGTAATATCCTGAAAATATGTTCTTCCGAGTTATCTGTAAACAGTTTAATATTAGAGAACTCTCTTTCTCTCTCTTATCTATATCGACAGTTAGATCAAATCAATTTTTCCAAAATCAATTTTTGATAACACTTACTTAGATATATGTACAATGCTGCAAGAATCTTTGCAGCAACTTTAGAAGAATCTTTAACGTGACTAGAAGTTTTTAACTCCATATCTATATACACATTTAACAAAGCTGATATTTTATTTAAATATTGACTGTAATATACATTCTGAGAAAGAAAAGAGACAAAAGATTAACAATGATCTTATATTTACAATTCCGTAAAACAAAAACAAATAATTGGGATTAATAGTACCTGTTGTTTTATATCAAGCCAATACATGTGAAAGAATATTAACATTTTATTAATATGATTTTTTATCAAATTAATTTTATATTTATTAAATTCGACAGTGTTCTCTGCTACGCTAGAAAGAATATTCCTGAAATACAGCAAAATTACATATCTTTTATGTATACCTTATTTAACCCCCGATCTGTTTATACATGTGTGAAATTTTTTGTAAAAAATTTAACAACGTTGAATTGGATCTTCATAATGATGTAAATGACAATCTTACTGGGTGTAGAAGAAAAGCAATCGTTCCAGATGTTCATAATTTCTACTTCCTGTACATGAACGTATGATTTTATTGAATTTTAATAACCATGGAAGTAGTTGTTCAATTTTGTTATTATCTTCCAATCTGACGTCTTCCTGACTTTTTAAACGTTTTTTTGTGTTTTTATTACTTTCACATTTAGAATTGGTATCCATAGCGATATCTTCCTCTGTAGCTCTGTAGATTTACAGTATAAATCCTCTGCAATGATAAAAAGACTTATAGCATGCACAACACAATAATCAATATTTAATGTTTTAAATTTACATTTTAATATTAATAAAATTTATAATATTTTATTTAATAAATAAAACATCTTGTTCAATCAAGTCAAGTGTTAAAAAGCATAATTACTGACTACTAAAATTGTTTCTACAAATTTATAAAAAATTTATTAAATATCAAAATTTAAGTTTACTTAACTGTTGGCACTTTAAATTATTATTATTATGATTATTATTATTATTAATCAGGTATTAAAATTGTTTTCTGTGTAAGTTATATTTATGATAAAGTTATATCATATTAATAAAAAGTAATATACAAGCCAAATGTTTAGAATAGCAAAACTACAATTGTCAAAATTCGTTATACATAGACATAGTAATCAATAGAAAAGTTAAATTACTAAGACTAAAAGAGTAGCGTGATAGAAATGGGTATATCTAAACGTGTTGTCAGAAACAGCCAACAACTTTCGGATATCGTGACAGGTGCAGACTTTATCATTGCGGCATGCGATATGTTTCATATAAAATTATCATGTAGTGGTTCCGCATTCTTTCATAGCAAGGAACAAGGGTCACAAGGGAAATAATCTGAAATCGTTTGAAAAGAAAAAATCTTTTCGTCTTACAGCTTCTGTCGCAGATTTTTAACGTGACGATAACTCGCCGTGCCCTCTTGGCGTGTAGCAGCCTGTCAACGTGGAGGCTTCTCTTCCCGGTTGAGAGAATTCTCTTCTTGGCCGAGCGTTTCTTCCGAGTCGCATTCGAATCACGTCTGATCTGGAGTAGCCCGTAGTCGCTTAGGCCGTTCTTCCGTCCACAGCAGCTAAATCAGTCGTCCGAGAGGCTGCGGCATCTTCCGAGATTTACGACCACTAAACGCGTAAGGCAGGAGTCAGGACGCGTTCGTGCTCCGTTCGTTAATCGCTGTTCGCTCGCTCGCTCGCTCGTTCGCTGCTTATTCTTCTTCCTTTGTTTTGGCCTTGGTCCCCAACACGGGCCCGTGTCACGGGGGTTCACTTAGCCAGTGATATTTCAGAGACAGCACTCGTTTCGTTCGTTCGTTGTAGCTCGACCGCTTGCGTTGCCAACGCGCCGCCTGTCGGTTAATACTCGCAACTTGCCAAGGCTGCGATCTGCGTTCGGATTCAACGTTTTTACGCGCTTTAAGTATCCCTAAATAACCTCGCATCCCAACACATTGTGCCAATGTATAACACGGTCAATACGCTGCAGTTATTATGTCATTTTGTACGATAAAACAGTTTACAATAATGCTGTCATGATTGGTCACGATATGTAGTCGAAATTTTAGATCTGATTACTTTACTGGCGCTTTTACAAGCACAATATTCGCACAGCGTGCAGCATCGCGATCTGCTGTCAGACAGGATGAGTTACCTCAAATGAGGAGTTGGTTGGATATCATAATGTACTGGCATCGTGGCAAACATTTTATCCGACCGCCTCTTTATCGTTCATTATAATGAATTCGATTGAATGCACTCGGTGCGCACTGGTGCACATTAAAGCCATCGTACATATACAAATTGAAAAATATGTGTTTAATATAAAATCCAATTAAACACATGAGAGATGCTGAATACATTTCATTGTGATAGTTAAGTAAAAATCTGTATTTTGCAATTCGAAATATTTATATTTTATTTTTACACACATTAAATCAGTGTATAATATAATTGGCTATATATACGTAAGATAAGAGTATAAGCATAAAAGCGATGAAAGCATCTTAGGGCGAACGCAACTAATAGCACCGACTTGTTGGCCTAATGACGTTCATGCTCTACCAATAGTAGAACAACGTTATTAATCTAACCCAGGTCGGTGCAAACTTGTTCAGAACTCGTAGCGAAAACGTTACAGTTCGCTGAAGTTGCCAATCGCTCTAGATCGCTCGGCTGCGCAAACGTCAGCAGTGAGCGAGCGCTGCGCTCGACGTGCTTGACGTTCCTCGCGTCTCGCCTGCTGCAACGGCCGACGGGCTCAACGGCGCCGTGCGCGCAGGTTGCGCACGCCCGCTCTGCGCAGTGCGCGGAACCGTTCGTCACCGTCGCGTCAGGTGCGTGCTCGATAATCACGATAATTTCGCGACAATCGCGACGACCGTGCCACGCCGCGTCACGCGTGTTGTATGTACGTAAACTGGCGAACGTTAGATATTCCCGGAGGTGCGTGCGGATATTACAGAGGATCCTTCTAAAATTCCATTCTTTTCGACAAATGCAGTTTTTTTTTCTCGGAATATCCGCGGGCAAATTAGCGGACCGATATGATTGAACTCGCGGCTCGTATTCGCGTTAACAAACGCGAATCTCGGAGAAGACGCGTTTCCTGCGAGATTATGGATTCCCGGAAGTTGACGATTGGCACAAATGGCTATATAGTCGCGATAATCGCGTTGGGCGTATCGTGTCTTAAGCTTGTGTAAACTCTCGGCTTTCGGCGCTCGGTGCTCGCTGAAACGATTGGTTTAGTGTGCTGTACACGTATATACATATATTGATATACGCCATATATATTATATATATATATATATATATATATATATGTATACATTTATGGAACTAAACAATATCCGCCGCGCACCTTCGTGCTCCACGTCCCTGGACGTGATCGGAGCTCCCCCACCAGCGGGGTGCGCTCACTGCGCGCACGCCGTCGCGCGAACGTTTCGTCCAAGTCGTCCGGCAGCGGCCGAGCACGTATGTGACATGGCGTCCGGGTAGAAAGAAAGTTTAACTGCTAAATAAACGTTAATGTTGTTTTTATGACACTGACCGAACGAAAAGGGAACATCCGAGGCCGCGAATTTCCCACAGACACTGGCATTGATGGTAATGCATGCGAGGAAACCTCAAAGGATCAGCGATGGGTAGGGCTCTACCGTCAAATACCCGATACTGACACACGGCTAATCTCTTTCTCTCTCTCTCTCTCTCTCTCTCTTTATCTCCTCTCCTCGCTACTCTCTTTCTCTTTCGCTCTCTCGCTCTCTCCGCACTAGCTCACCTCACCTCTCGTTCACCCGACATTCGTCCGTACGACCCGCTCGACCGTACACACTCATCGCAGCACTCACTGCCACAAAACCGCCGCACGACGTACCGCGGGCACAACCAGTTTCCACGATGGGGATCCGCTCGGGTGCCGTTCCCCGTGGAAATGACCGCGACGGCGGCGGACACCGCGTCACAACCTCCCTCGCTCACGGCCCGTTGTCTTATGATTCCAGGTACTTCGAAAAGCACCAGGCCCATCCCTATCAGGTAAATATCTGTCACCATCGAAGCGATTGGTGGGATCTACGATACGATTAAGGGCGGGGAGGGGGTGAGGGGGGAGGTGTGATCATTTCTCGGGACAGCCTCTCTCACGTCGTCTGATACGATCATCGGAGTCTTCATCGTCCATCATCGTCGAGCAACACGCATTATTTTCGCCCGCGGTTCCGCGTCGTTGCCCGCGCGACACCTCTGCCGAAGACGGGAGGAGGAGAAGGAGGAAGAGAGGAGGAGAAGGAGGAAGAGGAAGAGAGAAAGAGAAAGAGAAAGATGAGATCGCTCCGGTTCTTGCGCGAAGGACACGACGGAACCCAACCGCGGTGACAGCCCTCTTCCGCGCAGAGGAGTTCCAAAGTTCGTATTCGGTTTCTCGGCTGACGGGGCACGGCGGTGAGAAACGGGCCCCGTTCGCCGTCGTTCTCTTTCCGCCAGACTGAGGACTTGCGGACCTCGCGGTCGCACGGCCGGGAATCGATAATGCACGTTCGACGACGATCCCGCGGCAAGACGACATCCGGACGATCACGTCAACGCGATTCGTTTTTCACGCGTCGTTACGTCCCCGTGAGATCGTCTGCTCCATTGTGCACGCTCCCGTCGCGTCGGGCTCGTCTTTGTCGCGTCGTTATTACCGTGTTTCTCGCTTCGATTCTTTCCTTCTCTTGCATGCGAGCAAGGTAGAATCGATCGTTCACTAGGTTGAGGCACGCCAACGTCGTCGTCGAATAGTCGGACGATTGGCTTAATCGTCGACAATTTGCTATATTATATTACGCGTAAGAATCCTCGAATGCACGCATTTGACGAGCTCGACAAGGCGAAAAGAATCAGCTTTGACAAGTGACATTTTGGTCATTGACAATATTTCGTACGTTAAACGCATTGTCGCGATGCGAATTGAGGTACTTTATAGAGAAATTTATATTGTAGCTGTAATTAGTTGTAAGAATTTGTCTCACGCTTTTCATTGATTGTCTGTGGTGTTTGTCCTTTTGAAACTATCATTTGTGCTGAGTGGTATTAACAAACGAATATTTATGTTCTCGATACTTAAATCGGTCCACACGAGATGAAGAGAATGGTAATTAATCGTAGTATCGCCCGATTTTTACGTCTGATACGAAATAATTTTCTGCTGGTCTTGTAAACATAACCTCACTTTTCAAAAAATCAATAATTTATTCTAGCAAGTAATTCTCTAAAAATATTTGAGATCCTATCTAGGTAAGAATCTTATTTCAGTCCCTCTCATGTTTCGACGGTTTTTGCGTCACTTTCTTCTGTATTTTGTCGAAAATAACTATAAATGTGATAATCCTCAAGTCACAGTAACTTGATAGATTCTCTTTGTACTTGAAGCATTTAGGATACAATATAACATGTCTTTGTAGTATAATATGAGGAAATATTCATGTAGTCTTTACTAGAATAAAAAATATTTAGTTGAGTGATAAGAATTTGTTCTTAGATTAAAAATAGAATATGTGCATAATTGATACAAAAGGTATTTAGAGATGGTAAGCGCATTTGGTATTTCTAAAAAAATTTGGTGATTTTATGGAATTGATTTCAATTTAATTTTCCATTGATTCCATAGAAGAACCAGAGATTTTTCAGAATCATTTTATATAATTATTTTTACCATAACGTTATTCAATATTTGATATTTGTTCCTTTTCAGTTCTTTTTAATATCATTAGTCAATATATAGCTCTCATACATACTTGCAAACGGCCACTAGATCAAAACAGTCTGTTATTCTCAAGTGGATTATCAAGCTTATAATAATTAATAGCATTTTTAATAACGATCTTATATATTCAGAATGAAAAAAGTAAGCAATCTTGATATATCCTATTCATTTATAATGTATTGTGTGGTCATACATATCCCAAACACATTGTTAATGATCTGATTGTAGAACTCAAAGTACAGCAGTTCTAAGGGTGGCTATTCTTCCTCGACCACGTCATCGGACAGTCGCTACGAAGGACGTATGCGCGACTCTCCAAATGGTAACTCTTACAGTCCAGCCGGCAGCTTGGGAATGGGCATGGGGACGGACCGGGACAGCCCTCGGAATTACACATCCAAGCCTCTTTATAAGAAGGAGAGAGAAAATAGAGACTATAAACTATCCTCCTCTAGGGACAAGTATTCCGGTAAATAATTTATATTTTGCTCCAAGGAAATAACGGTTTTGCTGAAATAACTGAAATTTAAACTTGATAAATATGAAAATAACTTTGTTTGAATCATTAAAATAATTCTGTAAGACGTTTAAACTCTTTTCTAGTCACTAGAATAACAAAACTTTATCAATCAATATTTAAACGGTTTACATAATTATTTTGATGATGCAAACAAAATTATTTTTAAATCTATATCGAGTTATATATATAAATTTTTAGATTCTTTAACAAAACTTATTTTTGTATGTCCTCAACATTCTGCATAAAGCGAGTTTTTACAGTTACCTGAGAATAAAGAAAGCATAAATTTATGAATATTATTGACTACAAATCTTTATAAATATCAGTTACTACGTATTTTTTTGTATAACGTATAGGTGATTATATTTCTACGAAGTAATTTTCCTTTTTTTTATCTAGAGTCTCATCTCTTTTTCCTTTCTTCAGTATAAAAACAGAATTGTCTCTTAATATTTTCAGCTGTAACATGCTTGCTTGCATATGTGTAGATTGTGCACGATCCCTAAAAGACAAGAGAAGCCGTGAGAGCAGGGATTCAGAACACAGGACCAACCATGATAGGAGTAGTGGGGAGGTGAATATCTTCAATCTTAATGTCTAATTTAATGATTATTATAGTTACATATAATAAAAAGGATATAATTGTCAATTATAAATATTCTGATCTTTTTCAGAGTTGCTCCGAAACATTTATTGTGCCATATGTATAATAAATCCTCTAGTTATTAGACATAAATTTATTTCTATTCATGCTATGTATGAAATTATACATTTTTTTTACTATTTTTAATTTCTATTATAAAAAATATTGAACTAACATAAAAAGCTCTTGCAAAGAAGAGAAATTTCAAATTTTTAATTTTAGGAAAATTTTAAATATATATATTTAAATTACAAAAAAAAATATATATATATATATATGAAATAGATATCTATTTCTTTTAGGCATGTGCATAATAAAAATTTTTATTAAAAACATTTCATGTGCAAATGGACTGTTAGATAACTTGTATGTTGTCACAGTCCGATAAATTTATTTAAAACTAGTTAAAAAAGGCATTTAATATTGCACGCCTTTTTTAATTAAATATATATCTTTTTAGATGGCACTATCATAATAATGTTTGTGTTCATGTCTTTATAGATCTTACATCCCTTAAAATTATCATCAAATTCATCAAGGGAATCTTCATCCCAGAGAAAACCATCACACAATTCCTGTCAGGTCAGTGTTTTATTTACGTTTATTTATTTTATATTAGCATCAGTTATAAATTCAAAATTCTAAGTAAAAGATAAAATTATATCATTTAATTGTTATACATTCATTCCAGTAGCAAAATTTAATTATATATTTATTTCAAAATTGATTTAAAAAACTATTCTGAAAACTTCTATACATTTTTGTTTTTGCCATAATTTTAAATAACTTTATGTGTACGTAATTAATATCTTAATAGCCTCAAGAATGTAGATGAATATAACGTCAACTTTTCGAACACGTTTTGGAATTGATGCAAATATTCCCCATCTATTCAATTGTTTCCGGAAATTTTAGAACAGTCTGTTTAGGATAAACGTGGTGATGAGCGAGGAGGTGCAACGGAACGGACAGCCAGATTTGGCGATTGGTCCGAACACATGAGTTCGTCAGGAAAGAAGTATTATTACAACTGCAAGACGGAAGTTTCTCAATGGGAAAAACCACGGGAATGGATCAGTCGAACAGATAATCGTCAACGCCAATCTAGTGACTATTCTTCTAGGTCAAGTACGTCTAAATTTTCATAATTGTTAGTGTAGTAGCGAAGGAATGGATCCCTATATGTCTGAACAGTCAAAGAGTTACCTAGATTTAAAGAACTCCTCTACGACTCCCGCTAAGTCAGTGTGAAATTTTTTTTTATATATACATAGAAGGATGTATGTATGGATTTTCTGTACATACAGAGGAATGCAGGATTTGAACTTACGACCTATTGATTATTATAAGTCCATCACTCACACAGCTACACGACAATTCTTTTATAATTGTTAAATACAATATATAAAGTATAAGATATAATGAATGAAAGAATAATAAAATAAAGTAAGTTTTTGTTTAAATTAAAACATAATAAATTTGGTTTTTTTGATTGACATTTAATATTTACAGCTTTGATATTTATACTTATAGATATTTACGTTATCAGGGTTACCACAGATCTGGAAATCGGGAAAAGTCAGGGAATAATATATAAAAGGGACTGGAATTTTGAACTTTGCACTTACAAAAAAACATTGAACAATTCCCTTAAACTGCTCCTATTCCGAATATTTTTTATAATTTTTTAAATATATCTGACGTTTATACTCAAATACGTTCAAAAGTCGTGCACTTTAAACGATTGTAAAACAAATAATTTAAATATATATTTTATTCAGTAATTTTATTTAATGGCTCTTTTTCGTGATAACTGCACTTTTGTGATAACAATCCTTGATTCTAAATGTCAAAAAAAATTTTTTACATATTTTATTATGTTAAAATTGTTACATATTTTATATTAGTCATGGAAATTTCCCATTTTTATCTGGAAACCTAAAAAAGTCAAGGAATTTTGTAATTTATTTTCTGTGGCCCTAGTTATAGAAAAATCTCTATGAAAACTGATATAAATAAAATATGTATTTATTTAATTTTTTGTATTTTAAAACTTAATATATTAGTTTATCTTATATATTATACTGTTTATTAAATAAAATAACAAGCTATAACAATAAGATAAAATAACAAATGCATATTGCATTTGTGTGATATATTTAAAAAGGTTAAGGTGCAATTACATTCACATATTTACATATAATTTCTAATAAAAACAACTCTTTGCTTTTTTATATATGAAATATACATATAAGATTTTACTAAAACTGAAATTTTTCTGGGCAGGTCATGATAAACATTCCAACTCGCGATCAAATAGCAGTAGCAGTATGCGAGATGGTAAATCGTCGCGACAGTCTGACAAACGAGAATACTGGAGCTTATGTAGCGCGAGCGGTGGTGGCAGTAGCAGAGATGATGTTTCTGCAAGGGAGAGGGAGCGGGAAAAAGAACGGGAAAGAGAACGAGAACGAGAAAGAGAGCGAGAACGTGAACGTGAACGAGAAAGGGAAAGAGAAAGAGAATCTAGAGAATGTAGAGAAGAAGTTAGTGTAGAACGCCAAACTCAAGATATGGATATCTCGCCAGGTGATTCTACACCTACTTCGGAACCTTTAACGTCATCCTGCGCTCATGATCCACTGCCACAAGGCCCTGTTCTCCTGGCCGCTGGTAGGTTTTTCCTTTTATATTATGTACAAGTGCAACATATAGAAAACATAATAATATTTTTGAAAATATATATTAAGTAAAAAAATGTTTAAAGTAGAAATATTACAATTTAAAATAATATTTAATAACAGGAAAATGTCAGGGAAATGCCACAAAACTGGAAATCACAGAAAAGTCAGGGAATTTTGCAAAATTTTTTGGAAAATAAACAGTCTTGGCTTTAAAGAAGTTCTATATGCGTACATCACACTTACGCAGTTTTGGAACTACCAGCTTAACAATTAAATGCAAGCTGTATCAGCAACATTGATAGTAATTTACATTATGTTAAATTGCATTCTCAACAAAATATTTGACTTGATTTTTCCAAATTAACGAAAATACAAAAATTTTAAAATATTATTGAAAGGGAAATTGAAGGGCATCAGGAAAAATCATTAAATTTTGTCCGGAAATTAGGGAAAAGTTATGGAATTTTAGGATAAGGAATTTGTGACAATTCTGAATAATAATAATTTTATCATGCATGAAACATTTTATTTTTGAGAAATTATAATGATTGTTGTTTTTATGAATTTTTTTAAATTAAATTTTTATTTAAATAAATATTTATTTAAATTAAAGATTTAATTTAAATTTTCTTTTAATATTAATTTACTACATTTTTATATGCCTCAATCTTTATGGATTTTTGATATTGATATTTTTGTTGTACTCTTTCGTTAGCGTTACCTCGATTAACATCACATCCATCGTCAACAACACCACAGGCAACTGGAAAACTTAGTTCGCCAACGCAACAACAGGGAAGTAGTAATGCTCCGGGACCACCGGTGTCACTAGCAAATCTCCCAAGACTACTGTCACAAATTACGGGCAACAAAGAACAACCTGACATCACACCACAAAAAGCGTTACAGACAATTCAAACAGCTATCTTGCTATCCCGACAAGTAAGAGAGCATTTTTAATGTTTCTAATATTTAGAGACATATAATGAAATTATAAGTTATATTTCTCTCTGTTGAAATAAAATTCAATTAAAGTAATGCAAAATTTAATACTTTAATTATCAATTGATAAGTTATATTATTTTTCGCATTATTTTAATTAATCGCGAAAATTTCATAATTATTAATGTTTACCTATTAACAAAACGATAATTTTTAACTACTTTTTTGTGACGTAATCGAAAACATATCCGGTAATTTTCAAATGATAATATAATCAACTAGTTATTTCTTTCCTCTTTTATCTTAAAACATTATAACACATGTGTAAATGGTATTCATAATTGTATACTTGTCTTTTATTATAGCAGTCTGTTAGTGGGGATCGAACTAATACTGGAAGTGATGTGATGGTTCCATTAAAAGTTGATACAAGTGGCAATATTACCAGCGAGGGTCCACCTACTCCCACACATTCAGAAACCCAGGATTGTATTGATGCGCGAAAATGTAAGTTTTATTTTATATAATGCTTATATTTTACAAATCACTATTTGCCTTTATGTGTATTATATTCTTTCATCATATAAATCATTTTCTATTACAGTTCATTTAATTCAATTAAATACCAGAGTATAGGCTAGAACGTTATTCTTGTGTTAGTTATTAATTATCACTATTATAGATTTTTTGTTACAAAATTTATTTACGGCACATTTAATTTCCATTTTAATCATAATACTAAAATTGAATTTTTTAACTTCGTCTAAATTATATGTATATATATTAAAATTAAAATATATCCTAACTAAAATATAATATAAAAAGTAAACTAATATGTTGATAAATTATTTTAATTTGTGAAACAATGTGTCGAAATAAATTTTATTATCTTTTATTATTAAGTATCTCTTCCATTTTTATTTACATTAAAAAAAATTTCTTTTCGTTATATTTTATCATATATATTATCATTCATTTGTATAGTGACAAGTCCTGGAGGAACGAATTCCGGAGTACAAGGTCTAAGCTCCTTGCAAAGTCTCAGTACATTAGGTTCTCTTGGAAATTTGAGTAATACAGGAGGTTTACAGGCATTGTCAAGAGTACAGCCTCCTTTAACACCTTCTTTAACACCATCTCTCGCTAATCATTACCGGGAAGACTTGACACAGCATGTGCGTGCTTTTCCCGCTGATATTCTCGAAAAACAGGTGCGAATTCAGTATTTCTTAAATAATAGTCCCTTTAGTGTTACTAGATGATTTTCTTAGATTATAATACACTTATGTACAGGCACAGAAACTTAGTGAGGAAGCACATACAATGGGCAGTTTGCAGTGTACGAGAGTGTCCGCAGAATTGAAGACGGCACGATCGATAGTGAGGCTGACAGAAATTCAGGCAACGTTACAGGAACAAAGGTAAGTTTCATGTTATAGCACATTTAATATATATAAATATTTAAACATAAAACAATTATATCGCTTATTTACTTGTTATTTTAGGATATTATTCCTCCGTCAACAAATTCAAACACTAGAGGAGTTAAAATCCCAAAATTCCTTCATGTCTGATGATTCTTAGTGTAAGAATCTTTATAAAATAATTATGATTACAATCTATAATTAATTCAAGCAAAATAAAACATGATTATTAATATTCTCATTAATATTGAATAATTAAGATTGTACCTAAATTATAATATCGTAATAGAAGTGATATAATAGCGAATGAACATGGGCTGCTCAGAGAGGATTGGCTGTTTTATTTATCAGCCAACGAGTCTTAATAAGTAATTAATGAATTTATTAGTGAATCCACCTCTCTGAGAAGCACATCAGGCCTATCCAATACAAGTAGCACAACAGCTTAAAAAGTGCTAAAAAAGTGATTATATTTGCTTTTTTAGCGCTTTGTAAGCGTTGTGCTACTTGGGAAGTCGCAAACACAACACTAAATGATTAGAAAAACGAATCAATTTTATCAGTTCAATGCAAACTACTGAATTGTATATCTGAATTGTCCACATCGTCTTGTATTTACCTATGTTATACGTGTCAATGTTTCATATCCCAAGATTAAGCGGCATTTTAACTAGTTGAAACATTTTTGTTGTAAATCTCGGAATAAAATTCGTGCCACAAATTTTAATACAGTTCTTTATCAGCCATAGTCTCACTTACCTAATCTCCTGAATTTTTCGTTGAGAAAGGGAGAGAATCGCTTTTAGAGAACTTATATTAAATATATTTACATTAAATATGAGACAGAGAGGAAATCATATATTTTATATTCAGATTTGTGTTCGATCTCCAATCATTTTATTACAGGGTTTCTTGACATTGTAGAATGTATCATCGCTGTGAGCAAGTATTGATATATTATTATACATGCTCTTCTATTTACATCGTGTAATTAAAAAGTATAGCATTGACGCGCGCGAAATTTTAGAATAACAAACGGCTACCATTTAATTTCTAGTGTGTAAATAGCAGAATCAGAGTGAGTATTATTTACGAACGATATAATTTTATGCATGATAAATTTTTTCAGTTAATAAGAACATTATTGTATCGAAACTATGAATTAAAATAAAAATACGCATTTTTTATATTATAATTACAAATAATTCGTTTTACTTTATTCATAATCACCTAACTATGTCAAATACATAAATAAAATTTTATTACGTTGCATCCATAATTCGAGCGTTTAATAAGCATAGTACTGTATATGAAATATTGAAGTTGATACATTACGAATTGTAATAATTGTTTAAAGGACTATATTGTTAAATAATTCTTTAATGAGGTTTTTTGAACCATTTTTCACTGTATAATTTATTTATTTGAATAATATTCTGCAAGATAATGGAAAAAAGAATATATTAAACGAATATACTCTCTCTCTAAAAAAAAAATATCCCAAAAGAATTATTTGCATATCATACTGTTGAAAATTATCTTTTGAAATAGATTGTTATAACAGTTTGTAGAGCAATATTTACGTGTGTATATACAGAGTGAATCAGAGTCGTTGAACTAACTTTTTATCCTATGAAAAAATTGTCGACTTCATACCTAATTGAATTATAATATATGCAGTCAATTATTTTCTCATAGGGTAAAAAGCTGATTCAACGACTCTGATTCACCTTGTATATAACACATACACACACATATATTTTGTGCGTATATGTATGTATGTATGTATGTATGTATGTATGTATGTATGTATGTATGTATGTATGTATGTATGTATGTAT